ATAAAGAAGCAGGAAAACTGACGAGAGACCAATATTAATTAATAGATTTCATCCTTGAATTTAGATACATAGGTACTTATGTACTCACAATGACTTAGTTTCAACTCTCTAAATTTATGTATAGGTAAATGCAACGGGGAACTCCACCATGCCTACTTGTTCTGTCCCTGGCTGTAGGTCAGGAAGTGTGAAGTACCAAAAGTATTTAGAGGCGAATGGTTTGCCTAAACCTAGGGTTTTTCAGGCACCAAATGAGATATGACTTGGACAATGGTTATAGTGGGGTAACAGTACTTAGTTTTGGTCATCTTAGTCGTGGGGCATGGGGACACATCCAGTCACTGCAAATAAAATCCAAGGATCGATATGTAGATGAATCTAGATAGAGAAAGAGATGTGGGAAATAAATACATAAATATATAAGTAGATAATTAGATCAGAGAAGAATGTTTCCTCATGCTCAAACCAAGCACTATTTAATTATGAGGCTGCATTTTGTAACGAGAAGGTGGAATCTTCGTACAAGAGAGGTCCGTAAAGCACAAAAAGGGTTCCGAAAGCAGGCTAACCTGACGTAGCAAAATGTTCTTATGCTTTGTTATGATATATGATATATTTCTACTGTTGACACTTCTAGAGCCTATGAATACTACAGTTCTCTTTGAACTGTTTACATCTGTTTTATTTCCTACCAACAACATTATAAGGTACTGAAATGACAATTGAAAAGAAAATCACAGGGTTACATTTCCCAGTACTTACAGGAATAATGGAATGAGAAGAAAATTGCAACAACCTTTAACACCAAACTCTGTGATCATTTTGCTCATTGTGCTCATTGCACTTTTGATGACAGTTCTTTCACGTTTCTTCTGGTTTCTCAACCAAAACCATGCCAAAATCGGACCGATAGTAAACGCAGATATGTGACAACTTCAAGACATGCAATTAGCGGCGTATCATTGAACGAATGTGTGGCAATTGTACAATACAATGGGAGATCAAAACATAGCGAACAAGAGCCGGCTGTTGACACTGTCTGCTAAATCCAAGCCATAGCGCTCCCAACGCCCTCTGTGGCAGGCTCCGTAGACTCCGGATCACGGACGAAAGTCGGGTCCCGCTTTCATTCGGACACCGGGACCGGGCACAGCCGAGGCTCCATCTATGTTACTCCGTGGCACAACCATGCCTACCGAAACAACAAGTGTTGCCGGTTGCCCGTAGTAGTCTCGTTGCAGGGTATGTGCGTCCACTTCTGTTGACGAGAGCAGGGGGTAGCAGGGGATATCGCCGCTCAGGCGCTAAGGGTAGGCCACTATCTGCACACAGAAACTTGGCGGGAAGGCCTACCCGATGCGCCGCAGGCGTTGTCATTCGGAATCGTTCGTACTGCGACGGTGACCCTTGCGGCGAGTTGTGGCTTAGGGCACCTGGAGGGTAGGCAATCAGTACACAAGTTGTCCCTTAGGTTTGGGGGCCCCGGGCCCCATTGTGTTAGTTCAGATGCATCCGGGGATTATGCATGCAGAGCAGGCCCTCTTGCCTTCTGCTTACACCCTGAAGGCATCGGATTTCATATTACCCGAAAAAGAATATTCTATAGTCGGGTTGGATTAAGCTGACTCTGACCGCCGGCATTGTGGCCACAATTTTGTGGCCACAAATAGGGACGTCCCCTGCCCTCACAGTTACGTCTTCGAGAGAAAAACGTTTTCCTTGTGAGGTTGCTCTGCCAGGACACGTAGGCATTTTTGTTATCATGTATCTATGTCATTCATCATGACAATCTGACCCAGGAAATATTACAGTTTATTGCTTAAAATCTAGACCCTGGTGAAATTTTGCTTGGTGTTTATTCCTTAATTGGACTCCTGTGCCTTACGGACCAAATTGTGTTGTCAATCACAGTCCTGAGGAGTAAACTTCAAACTTTCTGAGATGCAGATTTGAAGTTACTAATTTTCTTTTACAAGTTCAAGCCTAGTTACAGATTTTTGGGAAATATTCTTCATTACATATGTATAATTTTCACTCAACATGAATCAGAACTGTAAACTTCAAAATGAAACCTCTTTTAAAATGGTTAAAAATCAAAGATTTATTTGTCAAATAATAACAAAACTATCCTCAGAAAACATAATTTAAATGAAGACAATTCATTTGTGTATTGCTTGGTAACCAACAGGGCTGTGGTTCATTTGTTCCATATAAATAATGCACTCAAAGTTTAAAAACAGCTAAAAAACACAACTCATCTTTACACATTTAAAAAATTGTGCATAAAAGTGACCATTTCATTATTGTAGTACAATAGATCTTATATCACAGAAAAATGCATTAGTATGAGATCACAATAGAGACTTTCATTACTATTTTGTACAGTTAACATTTAAAATAAGGGATAACATTTTTCAAGAAATTGGTAGAAATTGGTAGCATTAGTTGTTATTTCCATCATGGGGGTAAATATGATCTGGGAACATAAAAGTTATTATAAGAAATGTTTACACACAGAATTGAATTGCATGTTGAAAGTAAAGAAGAACCAAAAGTATTATGGAACATGAAGATTAGGGATACCTTTTCTGATGAGTTCGCAGCCATTCACGCATCTCAGAAACCAACAGGCTACCCAAGATTATCTGCGTAGGGTGATAAACCAGCAATGGCAGTGATATTGAAGAAAAGTGAGAGTATCCAGCAAATAATATTCGAAGAATAGGAATCCCTGAGGAAAAAAAAACTAGACTATTTTAAAACTCGTTTTCACAACTGTAGCATCTACATAGCATGGATACAGTACCTAAAGTAAGAGATTTGTGAGAACAGCAGAAGGTAACAGCAATACGATCCGAGGAGCTGAAAACCTTAGAAATCCCAGAAAGTACCCATGCTAAATACATTACCGACAGTTGGATAATGACCACTGTAAAAAAAAAAAATTGAATTGTAGAAATTATTGTTTTTATTTGAATTTTGATTTTAACAGTGAGGTACAAAAACATTACCTAAAAGCACCGTGACAAGTATATCTACAGGGTTCATCCCCGCATCATGCTCTGTGAATGCATCACAAAAGGTTGTGTAAATGATTAACAGCAGTGCAAATTGGCCCAGCTGTGAGGCAGGCAAATCTGAGCCACGTAGCATCCCCACTGCTCGCACAGCCTGCCCAGCAAAGAGAGGCAAAACAACTGTTGCCCCTAACTGGCTCACAGTGCTTCGGATTGGGACAACAGTAGATGAACCAAGCTAGTAAAAAGAAAATTTTAAACTGTAGACATCAATCTAGTGCTCTAGAAAAATTAATGTGCACAAGTACTCAGTATTTTCTGCATTTCTCAAGTATGAAGTAAATATAGAATACTTGTATGCTTTTCTAGTGTCCTAAACCCATCAAAGGAATAGTTTTGAAGTTACCTTCAATTTAAGAGGTACTTACAAAAACTAATAAGCTTATAGGTGTGACAATAATGCCGAGGAAGCTCCCAAGCGCAGAGTTGAACACAGCTCCTGCCTCATTACCGCCAACAGCTTTAGTTAAGATGACAGCAGTAGACACGGGTGGCGGCATCACACTGACAGTAATAAGTCTGAATTTTAAAAAAGAAAATGAAATAATCATAGGCTACAAACCAGGAAAGAAAAATAGGAGTGAGACGAGTTTAAAATAAGATCAGATACAGTACTTACCCCTTCAACACCCATTCATTAACACCAAAGATCCTCAGAAAAATATTCATTGAATGAACACAGACAGGGAAAATCAAAAAGGTAAATAATTGAATGAATCCATGAAGTTTAAACTGAAAGGCTGCCTTTTTCATGTCAGACATGTTTAACGATAAACCACTCATAAAAAATATGACAGCAATAGCCCCATATTTAACAGTTATCTCTGGCTGTAAAGGACCTGAAATTTTTTGTGATCAGAAAAGTATTACAATTCAGTAACAATAACAAATAAAATATCGTCAGAGCAAATAATTCCATACAGCAAAACGTAAAAATGCACAAATATAGAACTGGCTCTCCCAAAACATAACCCTACATTTTTGGCCATATAATAAAAACTCACCACCCGTGACACCCAGGCTGGGAGCAAGACACGCTAACAAAATGCTCAGAAGAATTCCGAATAAAAACCAATATTTTCTGAAAAGATCGGCTGGTCTGATTGTTTTTCGACGCATTTTAGACGCACGTCACCGGCCCTTGTCTGCCACCTGAGCCACTGAGCTGTCAACAACAAAACCATGTCCATGTCAACATACGAGTGGCGTGGAGTACAGCCAGCCAGCAGTCTGGAGGCACGGAGTATCGACACTCTCGCTCAGTACTTTTCTTGCCCAGCAGGTGTCGCTACGCGCTGGGTCAGTTGCTTCCCGCCACTGGGAGGGACGGGGTGTTGCAAGGAGCAATATGGGGACATGACATAGACGCCAAGTCCTGGTGTACCTTGTGACCTACTCCTGTTCACCCGTTCACTCAATGAGGCCCTGTATGTAGGTAAACCAGGTGTCCAGGCTAAGACCGCCACAGGCAGGCTGGGTTGCCTCGGGTTGCCTATACACTGGCTGCAGGGACTAAAAGAAGGCCCGCTAGACTAACAGGCGCGGGGCGGGTAGTGTGAGTTTGGTTAGAGTCCTCAGACTCTAGTGTTGGTGTGGCAGCTTCCCCACCACTACGCCGCCTGCGCCCCGCAACTGCAGTCCCTGCAGCCAGTGCATAGACAACCGCGTACTGTCACCGTATAGTGCGTCGTGCCGTGCACGGGGTTCAGTATACCGTGGGTTAGGGCTACGACACAACCCACCTCGTCCAAGCCGTAAAGGCGCAATCGGTCAGGAGACGATAGACACAGATCAGGTATGTATGTTAGGTGTAGGTCTACATTACCAGGCAGGTGAAAAACGGTGCACAACCCCATTGGTTCCCCAGTGGTTCTACTGGACTGGAACACAACGGGTCCACGCAACTCCGGGCGGGACACGAGGCGCTATGGTCCTGGTGGTTCCGCATCTCGCATTCGTTTGTGGAATGTGGGAGAGTAATCCAAAGCAAGCAGTTAAAGATCGAATTTCCAACTGCGCGACAAACAGAAGAAAGTGCGTTCACGCAGACACATACCCCCCCCCCCTCCTCCGTCCCTTGCTCTCGTAACACTATCACACACACACGCACACTCGACTGCGCTGCACCTTACTGTTTGCAAAGCAATTGAATAAGAAAACAAAACTTGCTCTTTCTCCTCTCT